GGGGGGGGGGGGGGGCATGAAGGTGTCATGTTGAGCGAGGCGGTGTGGAGGGTGATCGATCCTACTGCAGCTGTAGCGACTGTTTCTCCCGCGATGAACCACTTCGAGAGTCCCTGCTTTGGTTGGTGTTCATGCTGCTGCGTGCGCGCGAAGATATTCACGTGAGGTCCACCTCTTGGGGGGGGGGGTTGGATTGGACTACTAGCACTTGGGTTTAGAGAGAGACGGCGTTGGAACGGTTGTGTTGTGTACCCTGAGAAGAACAACAAATACAACATGACTAAATAGGCACAGACCGCGTTGCTTGTTTTTCCTACGGCGGTGGCAACATCGGGGTTGACCTTTCTCTCTCTCCTGTGTTGAGCGTTCCTAGACAAAATTGGGACATACCTATATTATACTGGTATTCTACAATAGGGTGCGCGCATTGATGAGTACACGCATTCTGCGGACTGCCGCGGTCTGTTCACCACCCGTACCGCATGTATTTAGGTCACTGCTACGGCAGAAGTCTCGATTCAAGGCTCGGTGTGCGAGCGGGAACGAACGAACTTGGTCTGCTAGACATAAGCGTGCGCTACGACCAGATCGGAACGAACGACAAGTCAACGACAGAAAGTGTGGGCGCATACTTTTCGTCGTTCTGTTTGGCGGAGGAAACGCATTTAGTTGATTGATTCATTCTCGACCACAACTACTACCATGACACACGAATTATTGTGGTGGGGAAATCAATGTCGTGTCCATGTGTCGTACCTCTACTTAACTCTATAGCTATGCTAGGCTGGTCCACAAAAAAAAACGAATGATAGTCTACGATTGGCACTACAGACAAGAGGAAAGCAAAAATAATTCGGGAGGGAGGACTTTCTGATCCGTGTTTCCACGTTGTGTCTGGCCAACCTAACAGATAGGCTCCCGAGCTTTACGCGTCAAGTTTTGGCCCTCCCGTCCTGTCTGTCCTCGTCCCGTTTCAGCTCTTCCGCCGCCGTGCTACTGTGTACTGCTGTACCTTGTTGTGTTATTACTGAGTTATAAGCCTGTTTAGGTTTTGCACATTGTCTACAGCAGTCAGTCCACAACACACCAAAGAAGCCGCCATCATTATTTCAGGTACTACTGTAGCACCCCCCCCCCAACACAATAACTTGCAAGTACAGGGAACTCTTGGGAAAATAAATGCGAAAAAACACCGCAAAATAAAGCAAAAAAATCAAGGGGGGACGGGATAGGCAGCCTACTTCAAACACAATATCCTACGAACACTAACTCCTCCTGCATTAAGGATTATCTA